TGGCCTCCCAAAGTGCTGGGATTACAGGCGTGAACCACCCCACCCAGGCTAGAAGTGTATTTTCTTATTGCTGGAGAGTCCAGAGAATGTTGCAGGCTAACTGGAGTTACAAAACAGGGGTGGCTTTACTTCAAGCAGCTTGACAATTGTTCTGTCATTTTCAATAATAGGCTTCTAAGATTATTGTGCTCATTGTCATTGGTATTCCATTCCACCACAAGGCAGGAAGAATAACGATACAGTGCCTGCTACTTTAACTTATATTCTATTGTATAGTACTTAGTGACATAGACATACTTAACTAATTGAGGCCAAGAAATATCATTTAGATATACAGCCAAGTGCCCAACTAACACGGAAGAAGGAGAAAGTGGATTCTAGTGAAAAGCTAACAGTCTCTGCCACAGTTTGGCTGTGTCATCCTTTCTTCCACATATAGAATGTTCACTGACTTTCTTCCCTCCACAAGCAAAAAAAGAAACATCCCCAGATCTCTTCTTCAGTTACTGCCTGTCTCACAGTTCATGATCTGTGGCTGACACACAATCTGCATCATTTGGTTCAACAGTGTCACTTGCATTATACAGTAACCAACGAAACAAAATACAAGTTTTTTGCTTCTCACCACCATCGCCACCATGAACACGATGTACCATTGTGAAGTAAGGACAGAATAACTACGGTATAAACTGTAATACAGAAAATAGAAACATGGGAAACATACAAGCATCACTAGTCCAAATAGTGAAAAAGTAGGCAGGCATCATGAGGAACTTTGCCATGGTACTGAGGAAAGTTCCTTGACTGGACCATGGTTGTCTCCCAGAGGAGCACCTTTCCCCATTGTTCTTTGTGGCTTCTGGCTTAGTTCCATTGTAGGTTCCTTCTTGTTCATTATCCTCTGTGGCCATATTGAGATTGGAGCTATGGTCTCTGCCTGCCTTCTGAACTGTGCAAAAATACAAGTCCACTTTTTTTGGATGCAAGTTTGGGGCTCTGAGGACTGTTTCACTGTTTGAAGAGTCAGGGGGTTTTAAGGATAGGCTCATAGTTTCCTTGTCAATCCAATTCTCTCAAAAATTGATAGGTTTCTAATATAGTTGCTTCCAGGCAATGCAATGCCACAGTAACCACAAATTAAAGTAAACGTAGTTCTTAAACATTCTTTATTTTCTTCTTCCCATGTAATTGCAAGAGCATCAGACACAATGCACTTAGAAATAAGGACCACAGATTTATCTCCCAACATTTGGGGTCAAGAAGCTGTTGAATTTTACAAGTCCGTCTGTTTCCTACTGTCCTTGATACAAACCACCCAATTCTTGCCTGTGTAACATCTTGTTAAAACAGCTGGAAGAGCTACATTCAGTAACATTTTGACTGTTTCCAACCCCTTTTCCTTCAAGTTACAAGCAAAGCAGGCACATGGTCTGCCTTCCAAATATCAGAGTAACAGTGTGATATAACTGCTCAGCCGAATACCCAGCTACCTTGGAAGAAAAGCAGCCAGGAGTCAACTAGAATACCTGATCTGATATTATAAATATAAATGGTAGATGCTTTGCATATTCCCTTATTGCTTCAAAATTGCTGCATTTTAAGTTACTTGTAATCTCATTGAAGGCAATGGTTGAGTATGAGAATTGTCTTACGTCTATAACACAGGCCAATACTGTTAAGTCATTTCATGAATACTTATTGATTAATGTTATGCACAAATGCCTCTAAATGCCTCTAAAGAAATACAAATTATTTTTTATAGCTGAGATATTTTCTGATTTTTCTGTCCCATTTTCATCATTTTATTGATTTGTGTAGGATAAGACAGCGTAATTATATTATAGTTTGAATGTGGATGGGACAGGGAGAATATTTAGAATACTTTCGCCATATTTACTTGTTGATTCACTCTTTATTCATTTATGTGAGTAAACCACCATGTGCCATGCACTCTCTTCTTGGGTTACACTGGTATGTATGTTTTCAAATGACCACTAAGTGAAATACGTAACAATTTATATATCTGATCATTCAGAAGATAATAATAAAGCTACTGTTAATTATTCACAGAAACCTTGTAGAGTACGGAATTATTTAGACTGAGTGTCATAGATAATTGTTCACAGATTCTGATTAGCACTTAGTAAATATGAATCTTGATCTGAAATGTTTTATATTGTTGATGCTTCACAGTGATACAACTTTTTGGTTAGGAACTAAATGGATGGTCTTACCAAGTATTGTCCAATTCTGAAACAGTTGCAGGGATAGGGATAGAACACCAATCAAGGCTGTTCAAGACTGAGCCAGAAGCTTGAAGGAAAGGATGGGTGTGAAAAGAGAAGAATGTATTCCAAACTCTTTCTTCTCTGGTGACTAATACTGTCTACCAATATAAATTTGTTATTTTTTAAGAACTGTGCAGCATGGCCAGGTGCAGTAGTTCATGCCTGCAACCCCAGCACTTTGGGAGGCTGAGGTGGGCGGATCACCTGAGCTCAGAAGTTTGTGAGCAGCCTGACCAACATGGTGAAACCACATCTCTACTAAAAATACAAAAATTATCCGGGTGTGGTGGTGCGTGCTTGTAGTCCCAGCAACTCGGAAGGCTGAGGCAGGAGAATTGCTTGAACCCAGGAAGCAGAGGTTGCAGTGAACTGAGATTGCGCCACTGCACTCTAGCCTAGGTGACAGAGTAAGACTTGGTGTGTGTGTGTGTGTGTGTATGTGTTTGTGTGTGTGTGTGTGTGTATATATATGGAGTATATATATGGAATTATATATATGGAATATATATGGAATTATATATATATATGGAATATATATATATGGAATTATTCAGACTGAGTGTCATAGATAATTGTTCATAGATTCTGATTGACACTCAGTAAATATGAATCTTGATATGAAATTTTTTGTATTGTTGATGTTTCACAGTGATCCAACTTTTTGGTGAGGAACTAAATGGATGTTCTTACCAAGTATTGTCCAATTCTGAAACATATATATATATATGCACTATCAAGCCAAGAATATATGACACAGCATAGCATAGCTCCACCACCACCCATCTTATCAAGGCAAATAATCTCTTGCCTTAAGTAACAAAGCCAGTTCAAATAATCTATGAAATTTTGAAGAAAGACACTAGTTTTAGACATATCTATATAGTATTGATCTGAGAGTAATTATAAATTAGAGCTTGGTACTTTGTGACTCTGAAAGGCATATCAATAGCCACTATAGAAACAATCAATTTCTACTTTATTTGTCAATACTTATCCACTGCCTCAATGCCAAAATTAGTACAATTTTTTCTTTTGTCCTTGATGATGAAAGTGAACTTTTGACAGTGATGGGAAACTTGAAGTTTAAAGAATTTTGGAATCAATCAGAAGCAATTTTGATCTGTTATATCAAGATTTATTGGGTACCAATGGGAAGTCATTATTTAGATACCAGGGTCATAAAGAAAAGTTGTCAAGTCAAAGTGTTTGAAATCATTCCAAGTAGAGCTGAGACTACTGAGTATTAGTTTTTTAACCATAGTTTGCTTTTAAACACCCTGAGTAGTTAAGAGTTCTAAAGACATATCACATTTCAGAATAGATCACTGTTTTCTATTAAGATCCTCAACCAAGTCAAAAGTGATACAAAATTCAAATTAAATACTAGTGTTAAAATTCCATTGATCTATTATAATATTTACGAAATCCAGTCACATCTTATAGAAATATAATAAAGAATTATACATGATTAGACATTCCAGATAAACAGTAAGTACCCATCTGAGAATTAAAAGCTATCTGAAATTGTCACTATTTCAGATAGACACAGGTCTAAAATATGTAGTTCACAATCACGTTTTCTCCTATGGAGCATGCTAATTTTATTTAGCTATAGCTTTATGACTCAGGTGGATTATGCTACTTATCCACTAATGCCCTAGATCTTTCAAGGACTTATCAGGAAACGGAACTTGCACCTATCATTGTAACAATAATAATTTCACATACAGGATGGTAAAAACTGAATAAAGTTTCTAACTAAGTAACTAAAAAAGGGAAAAGAGAACATTAAAGTTATCATGGAGATAACAACTTCAAGAAAGAGCTACCACCCCTAGGACTGAGCGAACACAGGGAATAAGGTAGACCCTTGAAGGGGGGACCTTCAAAATGGAACCTCAGTCCTCTGAGGAGAGGGCACTTCTCTGCTGTTATGGGTGTTCCTCTGATTGGATGGAGGCCCTTCCAGAGCTGGGACCACAGACTACTGAGAAAGTTCGATGGATGATATATAACCGCTTAGCTGAAGGAGTTAGCATATTTGATAGTAGCTACATTTACCTCTTTGTATCATATTTGCAAAACTAACAGAATGTAATGAATACCAAAAATATATGGGTGATAGTAATTTCAATATTTTAAACATAATGACTTTGTCTATCTTGAATTAAAATCAAAACATAACACTTCCAAATCCACATATGTATAGGATTTTACATACAATACAATGTACTATTTCCTACAATTTATGAATTAACAAGAAACATTTAATTAAGCATATCACAACATAACAAATTAAGCATAAAGAAAATAATTAGTTCTGTTAGATTTATGTTCGTTAAACTATGAAATTTAACAGTACAGGGCGACAACAAGCCCGTGGAAAGCAGAACTAAAAATCCAACTCTTTAAAAGAAGTATTTGTTTCTATCCTGCTTAAAACAAACAGCTTTCCAATGAAGCAATTCTAATCTTATTACACAGGCTTGATCTTGATACTTATATTTAGAAAGAAATTATTATATCAACAAAGATTAATGGAGTTAGAAATGGATTTCACAAAGATTATTTAAGTAACTCTCTATAATCTTATCAACTAACGGTTTCTTTTAATGTTTCCCAGGGGTAGCATCGAGAAAAAAAAAAAAAAAGAACTTTACCTATGTGTATGTATCAACACAGAGGATTAGTAATGTTTAAAGTACTGCTTACCTATTAACATCCCAGATTTTGCTAGTTTTATCCAGTGAGGAGGAAGCCACAAAATTGCCGCAGGAGTGCCACGTGCAGGACCATACTGCGTGACTGTGTCCTTCAAAGGTCAAAATGCAATCGCCTTTACATAGATCCCATAATTTAACTGTAGTGTCACCACTTGAAGTAGCCAATGTGTTGCCACTATTTGCAAAAACATAAAAACACAGTTTGTTAAAAAGTAACATAATTAAGTTTTATGAATACTGCATTCTATGAGTAATTTGTGTGTATGTGTATGTATCTGATTTATTTCTACTTGTAGTGGCGTATCTAAATGACTAAATATTATTATCTTATTTGGGTCTACACAATTGCTAACTTGACTTGCTTAGTAATTCAAGCTGAAGAGAGAAACTGCTGCTGTGCAGTTTCTAGATTAATTCTTCTAGATTCTTCTAGATTAATTCACTAAATTAGTGTTTTCGTTACCACGTGTTTGTTTGGTTCAGCGTTGTATATATTAGGCTCTGTGGATAATCGGACCTCAGAACAATAAAAATTTAGAGATGGGCTAAATCAGTTTCAAAAACATAATACAATATGAAACAGTAAGTCAGCATTGCTTATGTTTAGATTAATTAAGTGCTTCAGGAGTGAAGTTTGGATGAAGGAAGAAGTGAATCAGGAATGAGATATCTTTGATTTAGATCATGAGAGATCAAAGAGATGTTTAAGGGCATGACTCATTCAATTTTGCATTTTGGTAATTAGTAGACCTCAAAGCAGTGGCTTTCAAGTGGTGGACACAAAAGCTAGTTTAAGAAATGGGTAGGTGTCAGGCTCGGACGTGGTGGTTCACACCTGTAATCCCAGCACTTTGGGTGGCCGAGGCCAGCGAATCTCTTGAAGTCAGGAGTTGTAGAACAACCTGGTCAACAAGATGAAACTCCATCTCTACTAAAAATACAAAAACTAGCCAGGCATGGTGGCACGTGCCTGTAATCCCAGCTACTGGGGAGGCTGGGGCAGGAGAGTCTCTTGAACCCAGGGGACACAGGTTTTAGTGAGCTGAGATCGCACCACTGCACTGCAGCCTGGGTGACAGAGTAAGAATCAGTCTTAAAAAATAAAAAATAAAAAAAGAAATGAGTAGTTTTCAATGACACTAACAGAAACATCTAGTTGGTTGTGTGTGTGTGTGTGTGTGTAACATCAGCTGCAAGAAAATTTTACTTCCATCATCTTCTACACATCCTTCTGCAATGCATGCTTTTTAAATGTGTTCTCTTAGGTACTTTCTCTCATCAAATTGTAATAAACCACTTATTTATCCTCCTCCTCCCTGCCAGACTGTTTTACGATGGAGAACTGCATTTCATCTCTGTTTCTACAGCATCAAGCCTATGACTGACCAATTAAAGTGCTTAGTAAATGCTTTAGAGTAAGTAAATATATAAATGCATGCATGCATGAGTGAAATTATGCTACAAATGAAGAAGAAAAAGTTCCTGGCATCTCTTACAAAGGGAATAATAGGATCAAAAAAAAATTTGTTTTCTTGCTCATAGGCTTGGATATTTTTCAGTTAAGAGGGAAACGTAATTTTTATCTGCAGCAGAGAAACAGTCACCATGAGAGAGGAAGAGCTTGAAGTTTCTGGAGAGAAGGTGGATTATATAGTGTAGATATTCTCATTTGAGTTAGAAAAGAATATCCAAGGGGCTGGGCACAGCAGTTCACGCCTGTAACCCCAGCACTTTGGGAGACCAAGGCGGGCAGATCATGAGGTCAGGAGATAGAGATCATCCTGGATAACATGGTGAAACCCCATCTCTACTAAAAATACAAAACATTAGCTGGCGTGGTGGCACATGCCTGTAATCCCAGTTATTAGGGAGGCTGAGGCAGAAAATCACTTGAACCCAGAAGGCAGAGTTTGCAGTGGGCTGAGATCACGCCACTGCACTCCAGCCTGGGGGACAGGATGAGACTCTGTCTCAAAAAAAAGATCCAGAAAGATCCTGTCTCAAAAAAAAAATAATCAACTGGAGAGGAGATCCAGTTGATTATTCAAATTTGACTAGCTGAAAAATCACCAAATGGCAGCTAGTCCCTTCATCAATAAAAACTGGTTTTGCCACAATTGTTTGCACATATGTTTGTCATTCAGAATTTTAGTTTTTAATATTAAAGACTGAACAATACATTTATCTAAAAACATACATGTAAAAAAATTTAAAAATTATTTAAGCATGCATCTTTCTCAAATCTATCTTTCCAGTGGGTATCATGTTATTATGGACCAAAATATTAGCACAAGATAAAAATTATTGTGGTATGTTTCTGCCTGTTGTTGAAAAACTGTCTCATATAAGTTTTATATGCTCTTGTGCTTTAAACCATGTGCCAGGCAAAAAAAAAAAAAAAAAATCACACTGGAATAATTACAACTAGAATGAAGCAGTATTATTTCTTTGTGAGTGCCATAAATGATTTTTAGTCAACAATAAATATAAACAATATTCCCATAAGTTTTTAATATATTGAGATTAGAGCTCATATAGTAAACCTAAAATATATCAAATATAAATTTCTGAATATTCTTTCAAAATGGTTTTACTTTTCGAAAGACATGGCCTGAAATATGGAAAACTGTATACCTTAGGTTCATGAAAAAATAAAGGCCATTTCTCAGGGCCGAGAGAAATCAAGAGAGAGAAAAAGAATGGTACACTAAAACAAAAAAGGTGTGTTTTAAGAGATGCAAAAGATCAGAGTTTCCCTGGGCTCCACACAAATAGAAGGAACCAAACTCTTGAAAAGAGCAAAAGTGAATGTTATAGATTGTTTGTGCCACCCCTTCCCCAGATCCATATGTTGATGCCCTAATTCCAACGTGGCAGTATATGGAGGCAGGGCCTCTGGGAAATAACTAGGTTTAGACAAGCTCATGAGCATGGGGACCCCATAATGGGATTAGGGCCTTTATAATAAGTGGAAGAGACTGGAGGTAACTCTCTCCCTGTACTGTGAGGACACAGCAAGAAGGCAGCCATTTACAAGCCAAGAAGGGGGGCCCCACCAGAGCCTGATCAGGCTGGCACTCTGATCTTAGACTTCTAGCCTCCAAGACTGTGAGAAATTAATTTCTGTTATTCGAGCTACCCAGTCTCTGTTATTTTGTTATAGCAACCTGAGCTGACTAATAATATGGATCCACACTGTTGGTATACAGCCCAAGTTATTAGAAATTAGCTACTCGAAATTCTGCAAATAAAGTTCAACCAAGTGTGAGCTTACAAAATTATTCTCAAACACATAATCGGAAATAAGAAGCCATGACTGAGGATGAGCTAATACATTTAACAAATACATATACCCTGAAGGACACTAGTTGTTATAATTAAAGGGTACAAAATATAACTGTAAGCATATAAGGAAATAACAGATACAATAAAAAGAACAAACCACATAAGGTTATAACGTGAATCTGCAAATCTGAAAAAATATATATTTATACATTTTAAAAATAAAATTATTGAAATTAAGAAATCAATGGATGGGTTAAAAAGCTTATAAGAAACAGCAAAATTCAGAGTAAATGAATTGGGAAATAAATCTGGAAACAAATGAAAAAACAAACATTATATGTTCTCACTCATAGGTGGGAGTTAAGCTATGAGGCTGCAAAGGCATAAGAATGATACAACGGACTTTGGGGACTTGGAGGAAAGGGTAGAAGGGGGGTGAGGGGTAAAAGACTACAGATTGGGTAAAGTGTGTACTGCTCGGGTGATGGGTGCACCAGAATCTCAGAAATCACCACTAAAGACCTTATTCATGTTACCAAACATCACCTGTTCCCCAAAAACCTATGGAAATAAAAAATAAAAATAAATAAATAAAGTACATATTTGAAAAAATTATCCCAGCTAGAGACAGATGAGGAACTGAACACTGTATAAATGTTTAAAAATGTAAAGGATACAATAAAAAAAAAGTCTATTGACCTAATCAAAATTCCAGAAGAGAATGGAAATAAAGAGATAGATGTAATGTTCAAATAATTAAGGTTTGAGAATGTACAGAAATTAGAAAATTTAAGACCTAGAACCATATTATTTGGAAAGAAAAATATATACTTAGCAGGATAAACAGTGGTGTAAATAAAAAGAAATTTTTACTTAGATGCATTTTAGTGAATTGCTGGGCAGCATTGGCAGGAATAAGAATTAAAGAAAGAGAGAAAAAAGAAAAATAAGGTTATTTATTTATACAGAGATAAATATGTGTTAGAAACACTAATAAGCACTTTATATATATTTGATCCTCACTATCACTCATAAGATGACTATATTATCTCTAAAACACTTGAACAACATCACAGAGCAAACAAATCACAGGGGTGAAATTTCTTCAAAGAGCTAACAGAAAATAATATTACTCTGGAATTATCAAAAATCTCTCTCAAAACAAGAACAAGGCTGGGCACAGTGGCCCATATCTGTAATCCTAGCACCTTGGGAGGCCAAGGCAGACAGATTACTTGAGGTCAGGAGTTCGACACCAGCCTGGTAAACATGGTGAAACCATATCTCCACTAAAAATACAAAAATTAGCCAGATGTGGTGGTGGACACCTGTAGCCCCAGCTACTTGGAAGGCTAAGGCAGGAGAATTGCCTGAACCTGGGAGGCAGAGGTTGCAGTGAGCCAAGATTGTGACACTGCACTCCAGCCTGGGCAACAGAGCAAGACTCCATCTCAAAAAAATAGAAAAAAAAAGGAAGAAAAGAAACAAGAACAAATATTAATGTTCCAACTAAACTTACTAGTTTCTCTCCTACAGAAACTAATAAGGATGTATTTTAGGGACAGAAGATCTGAAAGGGAAGAAATAGTAAGGAAACAATTTGGTAAACATGCAAGTATATACAAATATTTGTGCAGATAAATAAATGAAATTCTTGCAGAAATAAAACAAAAACACTTGTAAAAATAAAAATAAAACAATAATGATATTATAATATTAACAATAAAGTTCATGTGTTATTAAGAAGAGAAAGTAAAACCTTGATCAATTTAGGCTTTACTAAATTAAGTCAGCATGGTAAAATGTTACGGGTGAGCACTGTAAGAATAGTAATAGAGCATATGACTTCCAAACCAGTGTAAGAAAAAAAGAAATGGGTAAGAAAAACTT